GTCAAATGGAAGCAGACTGCTGGTTGTTTCACAGGTTTTTTTGTACCATTTATTTTTCATTAGAAGCTTTTTCTGTTTTGCCATTTCTTGCTCTAACAACCAAATCTTTTAAAAAGTATTGAGATAGAATACCCAGTTTTGGGCCATCATTTTCCAATGAAATAATAAACAGAAAATACATATCCTTCATTTGTCATTGTGTCTATTACTTCTTGACTAACATAATTTTCTTTTGCATGTCCACACATCATAACCTCAAAAAGTTAATAATAATTGCACTTATCTCATCTGATAAGAATTTAATTAGTGTTTCATACAGTTTCTTTCCTTGTGAAATTATTGTTTCATCTAAATGCATTTATCTGTTCTGCTTACTCTTTGATGTTTCTTTCTTGAAGTATGGACCAAGTCAATCAGAAATCATGTAGGAAATCTTGTTTTTGATCATTTTAAAGTCCGTTGAAATTGGAGAAAGAAACATTGCTTGAAATAATTCAGTGGTACCATCATAAAAGCTGCAGAAATATGAACAAGCGACAATTTTTAAAGACCACAAAACTTTGGCATTGCTTCAAGGTTCCAAATAGTTTACAACTATTACTTTGTCAACCTGAGAACACCAAAAACCACTGTGATATTCTTAATTCGATCTTATCATTGTCTGTATGTTTCTGTCCATCAACATGATTGACTGTTTTGGTTCACCATTATCACATTGTACAGAGTTACAACAGATACAGCAATAATCTGCACCTTCTGATATTTTTTTTTACTGCATAGTTTAAGCTTATGCCTAATATTGTTCTTTTTCAACCAGCTGAGATAAAATTATATCCCATTGACATCTTTAATAGTTACCCGTAAGAACATTATATTACATCACAAATTCTTCACATATTTACAAGTGATTTGACTGATCAATATTTAGGTATATAAAAGTCTAAAATGTTACCTACGTTACTTTCCATTATTTTTAAAACACTTAGAATATCACTGAACAGAGCATATTTTAAAGGTGCCCTTGGGGCATGATTGGTTCAATCCCAGGAAAGAAACAGTTATAAAGCTGCCGTTCTTTATTTTACAGTAAATCATAACACTGAAGCATCAGTATTTAATACTAATGCTTCAAGAGTAATGCAGCTGACTTCCATTAGATTGTATTGGTAAATTAATTGTAAACAAATGATAGCTTCAAATCTCTAAACAGCAGTAGATCTCACATCATCCCAATAGGAAATATGGAAATCCATAGATAAATTTTACTAGAACACTTAGAAGATCACTGAACAGAGCATATTTTAAAGGTGCCCTTGGGGCATGATTGCTTCAATCCCAGGAAAGAAACAGTTGTAAAGCTGCCATTCTTTATTTTACAGTAAATCATGACACTGAAGCATCAGTATTTAATGCTGCAAGAGTAATGCAGCTGACTTCCATTAGATTGTATTGGTAAATTAATTGTAAACAAATGATAGCTTCAAATCTCTAAATGGCAGTAGATCTCACATCATCCCTACAGGAAATATGGAAATCCATACATAAATTTCACTAGAACTGGCCATCAGATGATTTCTACCATAAGTTTAATTTTCCTTGAAAATAAAAGAACAGGGGCAAAAACAGTCTCACTGTAATAATTAGTATGACAAAATTAAAAAAAATTTGATATAATATTTGAGAAAAATAGGTCATTTTTAAAATAAAGCAGGAAAATGAAAAAAAAAAGAGCCTTTGAAATATAACTATCCTTGTCCTGTCTTTTCCTTCTCTTTTTGAAGTTTTATTATTACAGCTCTTCTTTTTCACCCTTTTATATCACAGCATTTGGAGCAAAACTTTGAAAATAGCTGCAGAGAAAGCTTAAATACCACTGGATAGAGTAGATTATACACTATTTATTTTGATGTACATTAAATAAAAATGGTGAGAGCAGTAATTTATGGTTTCATGGGAAAGTGACAATATGGATCTCCTGGAAGGTTATATAACAGGTAACTTAGGAACAAACAACAGTTCTGGGAATTTTATTTAAAGTTTATTTAGAGGTTCTATTTATTCCTGAAATTTTTTGTAAACTTATATATGTTAGAAGTTATGGAAATTTTCTTCTATTTCAAGGTATCAGGCAAGCTTAGTTTCAGCAGGTATGATAATATATGGAAAAATATTATGATGACTCAAATCCTTACGTATTCAATATTTATTGTTCAATTTATCATATTCAAACAATATATAACTAAAAGAACTTATAATATATTGAAGAAAACTATATTTATTAGATATAAATTGATCTTGACCAAGAATATTGTTAGCAAAAATATTATTTAGCCTGACAAAGGTAATGACAACACCATTGTGAAAGGTCATGTCATGGGTCACCAATAAATCTTTATCAGTTTTAGTTGTGTTTCTTTATGACTTGTAGCCAAAGTGGTTCCTATTGCAATTGGCAAAATATCAAAACAAATATGTTATTAAATAAAAATTAAGTTGAAACTGACCGGATAAATAAAATGAAACTTCCTGATCAACAATAAAAAATTTAAATTCTGATATGAATGGAAAACATTTTATAAAATTTGTTTTCATGACTTGCATAAGTCAATAGGGAAAAAAATTTCCAGTGTTAACTCCACCAAAAATAAATAATGTTTTATTATATTTTATAAAGAAATGTAGTAACAGCTGTAAGAAATGTTTTTATGTTAACATCTCTCCATTTTATCGTGCATACTTTGCATCATACACTATAGGTATTTTGCAGGTGTTCTAGCAGCCACTCAGTACAAGTACTGATATCCACCTATGCTGAATTGAGTCTGTACTTTACTGGGAAACTTTGACTAACATTTAATTGAAAAAAATGAACAAAAAAACTTATTCAAGCAAAAGACTACAAAAAAAGAAAAAAAACAATAAAAGAAATTTTAAATAATTGCACAGTACTGAACAAAGTCATTTACAGTCTCCTGTTTAACTATATATAATAACAAGTGATGAAACCTTGCATCTTTCTCACAAATATCATGCTTAACAAGAGTTACAATCTCCTTTCACATGTAACCAAAACCAAGAATGTTTATTGAACATATTTCAGCTGGCTAACAGCAAAAGAAGCTAACTTGTACCTGACTGGCTGCTAAACATACATTAGGACAAGTCAACATTCCAACCAAGCAAAGACTCACACTCATATTGTTGTGCACATTAACACTGTTTTATATCTGGTGGTTCTCCCACATAACTGCATTCCATTTTTTTTTACATTTTTTCTCAGTTTACTGCTGAATTCCACCGAACAAAGAACTGGAAACTTTGTAGGTCAGTAAATCCATTATATTCCAACATGGTAATTCAGCCTGTAAGTTTTCTTGTATGATAACACATACTCATGTTGAAACATTTAAAACAATAATTGTTTTCCAAATTTCATTTGTTGTCAAGAGTGCTGTGATGTATATCAGTCATCGCAAAATATAATTAGAAGTAAAATCATGAACCACTTTTTTGAGAATTTTATTCATTTTAGATCTAAGAAAAAACACACAAAGAGACAAAATAATATTAATAATATACATCACAACACTGTACTTAATAGTACTATCTATTAAAAGCAGAAGATTGTTCCCAAAATTTGGTATAATGGGGCCCAACATGTCACTAAAAATATTCTAAAACAGATTGATAACTGTATATATATAATTGATGACATTATAAGCTGATAGGCTATATTTAAATGCAAATGTTGGATTACTTCCTGTCAGGTGGTTAGGCTTACGACACTTATTCTATTATATTTTTACTGTGTGGATTTAGATTTATCTTTCTTTTTGTTAATAAATTTTAGGAAATAACTGAGGAACTTAGTCTAGAAACAATTTAAATTATTTCTAAAGTGTTTATGCTAAAGATGAAATAAATAAACTTTTGGAAAATCCATGTTCTTTATCTCACAAAAATTGTATGAATTTAATTTCTGCCAAATGATTCTTGAACATATTTTATCTTAATAATATCATTCCAATAATAGTCACATGACTCCTGTTCACTTACAGATGGAGGTACACTGTTACTGATCAGTGTTGCCAAGTTAGTGTATTTCCATTTTATGAGTTACATTTTCTAGAGATTATTTTTTGAAAAACCAAGATAAACAGCTTGTCATCAGTAAAAACAGGGAATGTGGGAATGACTGGTTAGATTTTCAAAGATTTTTCCAGGACTTCTTGATAAAAACCACCGACTTTTTGGGATGTTCAGTAATGAAAAATTGTTTAAAAAATTCCATGACTTTCCAGAATTTTTAAAACCCGTGCATACCCTGTAATATGTTTTTACTAGGTTTCATGCAATTCGGTAAAGTATTTCCATAGCAAAAAGGAAAATACCAAGGTATATCAAAGACATCTCACTAGTCCAGATGGGGTAGGTCACTGATTGATACTCAATGAGCAAATGTATAAAACTGATGCCCTAAGTCCAAAAGACGTAGCAAGTTTGTGAACTTGGAATATATATGTCAACAATTTGTCAGTTTATATTATGCCATTACATCTAAATCCAGAAATTCAAAGTCAGAGAATATTTTTTTCAAGTTATCATATATCAAGAGATAATATCCCAATCAGTTGTCAGTTATCCTTAGTTCAAAATTTAACTTGAGTTATTGCTATGAATCACACACACACACACACAAAATCACTGAAATTACTTGTAAAGTACAGTTAATCATAATTTTGCAAATTCTTGTATCCAAACACCAAAGTAATAACAATGCTGTAAATAATATTGATTAGGCTTTTACATATTATAATGTATGTAGAATCAAACAAGGATTTTGGAAAACTAGATATAAAACTATAGAAATGAAATAAATGTATTACTACAAATTCATAAGTGTTATAGTTTACAGTATTTTTGAAAATATGAAACAATTAAAAAAAAAGTATTAATATATTCGAACAAACTTCAGTTATGTAGTATTTTGGTTTAATTAATGTTCATTTTTTATTGGCACTTACACAAATTTGTTAACTTTTATTTGGACAATTTTGTAAAATAATACTTAAAGGAAGTTAGTCATATCTTTCTGTATAGACAATCTGATACATTCTAAAGATGTTTATAAGATATACAGTTGCAATAAAATATTTTTACAAACTTTTACAAATATATATATATATTAAAACAAACCAGTGACAAAAGAACATCTGTAGAATGCATAAGACTGAAATATTTTGCAAGAAGATATTAACATTTCCCCATAAATGACATCAGTGTAAACTAAAGAAGTTTTCACTCACTGAAAATGGACTAGTTTTATCTGATTAGCTAATGAGAATAATAAGAATAGTAAATTATTTTGCTTAGCACCATCAAATGACTTTTTGCAAACTACAGAAAACAATGATTATAATATTTCAAATTATAAAATATTTGTTTTAACTGAAAAATGGAAACTTCAGAAATTCTATATATATTCATCTTCTAAGTCTTTGTTTATTTGGCGTGTGAACTTTTCATTACATAAAATGTTACAATTTTTATTACTTAAAAAAATATATAATGTAAAATAATGCTGTAAACCATTTCTATAGGTCAAAAGATTAGTCATGGTTACATGATGATTGTGCTTTTGTTTTAAATATTAAGCTATATAAGAAATATAAATAAAAAAGTTCTTCAATAATCAGTGGGGAAGTTTCTGGAGGTCAAACTCAGAACATACTTTAGAAATACAATTTATTATCTATATAAAGATACATAATTTTTAAACTTAAATTTAAAATGCCAAAAAAATTATAATGTAAAATATATATTCATCACAACAGAATGAAACACAGGTATATATAATTATATGACAGCAAAAAGTATGACACCTTTTCTCATAAACAATATCTAAAAGACTATCTGAAAAACAGGTTATCCAACTCTCTTGCTTAGTTGTTATCTTGATCCTGGTGCTCTAAAAATTGTTGTAATGTTCCTGTATCCAGTGGGATCAAGAGATGTTCTGTACCCTCTGGTCCCTGTCAAAATAAATTTCATACATTAGACTTATACATACACTTTTCTTAAGGCTTTGTATTAAAAAAGTGGCAAAAACATTTAAAAAATTCAGTAACAGAACTTTCAATATTAGGCTCAGAAACTTAATAAAATATCCAAAATTTCTTTACATACAGGTCTACAAAATCGTTACACAAAGTATCTTTTAAAGACACACTGCACATTATAGAACATTACTAGGCTAAATGCCTGGTGAAAATTGTAACCTAAAATTAAATATTTTCAAAACATGGTAATACCAAAAAACATCTTTAATACAGATGTTTTGTAATTTCTTTAAATTCCATTATCAGCAATAATATTGCCCCCCAAAAATTAGTTCATAATATTCGAACTATAAAAAACAATATTAGCATTGAGTGAATTTTCGCTTTAATCGGATGTTTCGAAAGAACAGACTTAAACGGTAACAATATAATGGAATGTATGATAAAATGTGCAACATTCACATTTAATAAATAATATTGTTCAGAGAAACCATTACAAAGAAAGGCTTAATTATAAGTATAAATACTGTATCTTTAAAATAATAATAAATATCAAATAAAAACACTGAGAATCCATAATTGATTACACTAAATAATAACATCAACTCCTCTCTACTGTCATCAAATAATCAAGTAATAATGTACAAGTACCATAATATCTGAAACATATACTTTAAATGTGATAACCATTTGATGTTTCTAAGCCTCAATTTGATTTTATTAGGTAAATTTAGAATTTATAATGAAATAAAAAAACCACAAGCTGACATAGCTGTTTATTATGCAGTTACACAATAATCTATAACCACTGGCATGAAAGCCACGTTTCACACATGCTTTTTCAAAAAACTATATAGGTTTTGTAACTTACTATTTATCAGTATTTCTCTTTTGTTCCTATATTATATTATTCGTTTCAATAGACAATTAAATGTCTCATAAAGAAAAAGTATGTTGGTAGCATACAGATTATTTTTTAGATAACTGCACAGCCATGTTATTTTTTTTTATCTATTTCATTCTAATATACATATTTTTCAATAGCAACAAATACAATCACAGATCTAATGATGTCATCACTTGCCCATTTTCTTGAAAAAAATTTTTAAGGAATTACCTTAGATATTGTTACAAATATTATAAGTAGATACTCTTTATCTTATAATATTTGTCAAGTTTTTATATATTGATAAGCAGAATTCTTTACAGTAGGTGTCTGTGACATGTTGGTGATACATTTCAACAATAAACAAACAACACACAGTCCACTTGTTTTAAAATAATATATTAAAACAAGTCAAATGTTTTTTACACAGTATATCACCACAGTTGTATCCAGAACTTTAAGTAATTGTCTCTTTTTGTCTGAAGTCCTCACAGGTTTGTTCAATAACTTTAGAATATAATTGACAAGACAAATTATTTTTCTCTACTCTGTTCTTACAATACAATCTGTGACAATTTCATTTAAAAAAGAAAAGCGCCATTTCATATTCTTTATGGATAAACTCACAAACACACAATCTAGCTCCAGCTACATAACTAAATAACTGTTTATCTTACTTGAACTACATTTTGTATGCATATTCATAGACTGACAGAGGCCTAGAACATTATACACACTACAAGATAATATGATGCAATAATACTCAATAAAAACAATGAGTAAAACTTAAAATTTTCTAGTAACATGACATAATAATAAAACAAGCATCAATTTACAATAATTGAACTACATAACGTATGATTCATACACAGTTACATAACCAAACCTGCAATAAACTATCAATTCTAAAAATAACTAAATTTAACACTCACACTATACTTAAATGGAAACAGTTGTGTATATCTAACAATACTTTGTTTATAAGCTATCTCTGTACTCCTTTTAGAGTTTATGTAAAGATGCTTAAAAAACAAAAGAGAGTTCATGCTAACCTCCAAGCTTATGTTGAAGTAAAGTCCTCTCAAGACTCCATTAATTTCAAATTACCAGCAGGAGTCTTTGTAAAGTGAAAAGCAAATGCCAAAGTAGTTACTTTGCAACAAAATAAATTGAAAGAGGAATAAATTTAATTTATTACCTTTACATAACATATAAAAAGTCATTATATACCTGGATTATATGAGGTCATGTGATCAAAGAAAGGCCTCTAATTTATTAATTAAAGGCTCAAAAGTTACAATTCATATAAAAAAGAAAAAGAACTTTACATAAAATATAATGGGCCGTAAAGGTTTATATTGTTGGGTATTTCTTTGTGATTATTTTGTAAAAAATAATCCAAAATCTAGTCCACTTAACAATAACGAAAGTGATACACTTCTTAGACAGTAATGTTTTTTCAAGTTCTACAGGCTACGTTAATTGACAGACCAAACTCACAAATTAAAACTTCACAGTCACTTGTTAAATTTTAACTGATATCTATGACAGAACTCAAAACTGGCTAACTAATACATTCAGTAATCAACTGATAAGGTAACAGATTCACTAACTAACTTATCATCTCACTGATTCACTCACTCTGATGTTTTAATACAACAATTGTTTGCCCAAATCTCATGAAAACTTAAGACATCCAACGAAATCCAGGTACTCATGAAGAGCAGCTCAAAGTTCTTATTTTTTGATGTTGTTGTCATTTTTTTATTTTTAAGCTTAAATTTAATAGAAACTGAAGAAATCAGATTATTTTAACAGAGTGTCTGATAAAGAAAATATACGACATTATTTCATGAAACGAAGAAAATTAGTAATTAACCAAATGAGAAATATGGATTCAAATCAGATATCCCAAGTGTACATCATAAGTACTAAACATTGTTCATATTAAAAATTATTGTATAAAGTTTAAAATTACTTGAAACATTCACTAAAGAAAACGTTTTTTTTATTAATTGATGCTTTTGTGGGCTTACTTATTATAATTGCACAAATTTGGTGCTGAACTCAAACTTCTGATCAATACTGTATATTACAGAAAAAAAAAACATATATTAACAATACTTTAAACACTAACTTCAGTCTTCACTACAATACACTGGCAAGCTGGTTGTTTCATTTATGTATTTAGAATATTTCAATTTTAGCTGCATAATATTAAAAAAATTATAGTCTGTACCATTGCAGTGGAATACCTCAAATATCACTATGGATAATTTTACAGTCATTTCTCGCTGACTGATACCTACTATTTTGTTAGTGAGTAGGTATCAATAATATTAATATAAATTACTCTCTATTCATTTTGCCTATATTCCTATGGACCTCAAATTCACAATATATCATGGCAGCCAGTAGGTCATGTTTGGCCAGGAGTAAAATGATAAAAATATATTATAAGAAAAAAATGTTCACTACCTGTAAACTAAAACTTGGGTTTGTGCTACAACTTATTGTAGAAGGATTGATTCTATTCCATTGAATAAGTTCATTTAATAACAACACAGCTATTTCATTAAAAACATAAATGATATAAAAACTTATTTTATTTCTTAATAGAAATAAGGTACATCCGGAAATGTTCAAACAAACTATAAACATTTTATTAGCTATTAGATCTTTCAAAGCATGCATTTAACCTACTGGCAATATCACAAGTGTGTGTGTATGAAAAAATACAAATATCTAAAATTATTTTTGCATACCTTTTGTGATCTTAAAAGTTTGTGATCATAAAATTCTGTTAATTGAGCTCTCAAAGTGAGTTCACTATTTACAAGAAAGGCTTCACGACACTGTTGATAACATCTTTGAAAGGGCATTCCTGTATAAAAAATAGTAATACTTTCGTTTCAAGTTTCATTTAACCAGCTATAGGTAATTAACTTTCAACAATAAGAAATGTATCTTAATCTTGATCTCCAGGTAATTTCCATTATCCAGATCCTGCCTTAATCGCTAAATGCACATCTATCATAACATTTTATGACATGTTTCTTCAGTGCTAAAAACACAGTAATATATATATATATATACAATTAAATAACTTATCCATAAGATATTTTCAAGTAGGCATATATACATACCTATGGACCTATATTACAAAGTTTCCTAATTTTTTATTTACTATACCATAAAACATTGTATGTCAAAAATACCAATCAAACATTATTTTAATAAATTAAAAAAAAAACAGTCTTCAAGGTGGTCATCAAGATTCATTTAACTTATATGATATGAAACTCAAAAATTTAAAATGTAAACCTGATAAATAATTTGAAACACCAGTAGCCTCAATTCATAAGATTGCATAAAACATGCATAGATAAATTCAATTTTACGAGTATCTACAGTACATATTTTCATATACTAACATAACAGTTTGTCTAACCTTCTAAGTTTTTCAGTTTTCAAGTTCACTTACCTTGATTCCTTACAAATGAAAACAATTATTCATAAGCAATTAAAGATAAAGGAAAATCCAATCTTTTTTACAATAAGATGTGTTAAAGGTCCCACTGCAATTTTAGTTTGACATCAGTATTATGTATTTGAATTATAAAAAAACATAAAACACTATTTTTTGAAAAATAACCACTAATATTTTTCTAATTATTTAATAAAAGCTAAAGTATTTAGTTTTCTACAGAAATCCTAAGAACAACTTAACTACATACATTGTAGTGTATTTTATTTCACTATAAACGGTAGGAAATTTATACTTCTTAACAAAGATTAGAAAGGAAATTTTGTTGCATATTAAAACATACCTAAATATGAAAAGTTATCTTTTTGGTCCAGTTGGTAGTGAGTTATCAAAAGGAAAATGCCTCGAGCATTTGATGTGAGGCTTCTGAATACATACTTTAATGAGCTAAGAGCAAGAGTGTTAGACTGCTGCATTAACAGAGAGTTTTCAAATGAAGTTTCAGTAGTGTAAGGTTGGAAGTTTGTGACATCCACCCAAAGCCAATGAAACCTACTTAACTGGGTTTGGTCCCAAACTGTTAAAGAAAAATATGCATGTTTATCAGTATAGACCTGCAGAAATATTTTGATACTTAAACGATTTGTTGTATTCTAAGTATTGAAGTAAACACTCAATAATGGCAACTACTGTTTAGACAATGTGTGCAAAGTTAGCTACAAATGATAATCAAATAAGGAAATTTTCTTATGGTCTGCTCTTTCCAATATTTTATAAATAAAACTGATTGAAATAGTTTATATACAAAAATTGATCACCAAATTTTTGTAAGTAATTTCCAACATTATTTTTAGATAAATTTTTAGAAATCAAATTTCTATGTTACCCTTTAAGGTTTAGTATATTACACATTATTAAGCTCACTAACATAAGAGATATTAAAGTTTTCATCATTATAGGCTTAAAATATATTATCATCTACTGGATAATCACACCCCGCAAAGAAAGGTTTAAGCACAGCAAATGAATTAGTTAGCCTTTATGTATGTTATTTTAACTAATATTATAAATCGTATACCTTGAACAGAATAAATTTCAAGGCTATTTCAGCATTTTTTAAGGTTATTCAGATATAAAAACAATAAAAAATTGACTTGATTTAATGCCTTTGTTGTAACATATGATAGGCTTTGTGATTGAGCACACTGACATTAACAATAGTTCCTGTTAATAGTTCACTGTCAACTGATAATGGAATCCAACTTTTGCTTTGTACTTCTGTATGAACTTGACTTTGTTAATTCATGATGTTAGAAAAACATATAGGTTCAAGAAGCCATGACAGAAATGTATAAAACAATATAACCTGGGCAATTTTGAAAGGTGGACCTTTCTTTTTCAGTTAAGTCTACAGTGCTTTCAGCTTTCTCAGTAAATTCATCTGCACTAGACTGAAACCCATTAAGATCAGTTTCTAAACTGTGCCTCTTCATCTACAGTTGCTGAAGGCTATTTGTATCAAGTTAATTTTTAGAATTGAAATCCAAAGGTTTTGCAATCAGTGTAGTCTGACTGTTTTTCTCCATATCTTTGCCTAGCATCCTGGGTATATATAAACATGGACTTTGCAACAGACACACGAAGAACTATATGCAAAGGGCATATAGCATCACAGACTTGTCTTTGAGAAACTACCGATTCTCATCAAGATTTCCAATAATTAGATGGCTATTTATTGAAAAGATTTTCCATTGTTGCTTGCCATGTGATAAGATATAAGCAACTGCTTGGTTACAAACCACAGCTTGTTGAACTCTAAAAATGTATATATCCAGCTGCCTGTTTAAACTTAATACTGCCTCTTTACCATGTCACAAATCTACCCTACATCAACATATTTGTGAAAACTCTGAAATCTAGTTATAAATACTTGTTTATCACTGACCAGCAAATGTGGATCCAGAAATGTTTCATTTCTGATTACTGAATACTTCAAGGGTCATTTCTCTTGTACTTAGCATTTGAGACTGATAGACATTTCTTACATTCCATCCCAAATCCCATCCAGTCTTCTCACTCACTTTCTTGACAGCAAATAGTTCTTTGAGCTTCTTAGTTGTAGAAAACCATATATCTACTTTGCTATGTGTGTCTTGATTCTTTTAATTTTTCAGATCAATAACCTTCTGAGAGGAGAAATAATTTCAGTCTGAAACTTCGTTCTTTATAAAACATTCAACCCATCCATGAATCAATTTGTTTAGACTGCTGTACAAAAACATTATTATTGGCTTATGAGTTTGATTCCTGACCATGAAATCCTCGTACTCACAAACAACTGATTAAAGGAAGGACATTTTGGCTGGCAGTAACTTGTCAAAACACCCATCTTTGACAATTTCAAATGATTTAGTCATGGGCACTGTATACTTCTTTTCTACTGTTTCAATATACATTTGACTTTACCAAATAGTGCACAAGTAGTCACCTTAATTTTCTATCCAAATATCAACACAAAATGTAAGTGGAAAATGTCTGTACCAGTGATTTGCATGGAGTCATCCCTTCTTGCAGTGGTGTCATAAAACAATATATACATTGAATGCAGAAATGCTTTAATATCCAGTGTTATGGCTTCAAAACACCCCTTGAATGAATTGTGCACAATATGTAAACCACAGCTCCCAATGTCAATCAGACACCTATCATTGCTTTTGTTGTTCCCTATTTCTAACAAAAGTTTGTCATAAAAAAAAAAAAAACACTGACAGTTGGTCCATCCACAAAAATTTTTGTACCAGCTTCTAGAGATTTAAATCTGCACATTTATCTAAAAATTCACTCAATACCATGTCCACATAGGCATGTCCAAGGAAAACACTTGTATGGTACCTTTGTTGCTTGTTACCTGTATGTAGGCCAAATTGCTTATTTTGTGTATGCCAATTTAAAGTTCCATCAAATAAAATAACAAAGCCACTGATTTCCTGAAGTTGACCAAGTAATTGTAGTGTGAAATAAGGCCATTGAAAACAATATAAGCACCCCTTTTCTCCCAACATATTATTCTGTAAGGGTACTGTCTAGAAATCTTTTCTAGAACAATTTTGATATCTATACAACTTTTGGAGGAAAAATGTAATGAAATCACCTTCATAGTTCATAGGACTTTAGTAGTCTATTCCTAATCTTTGGTTACTAAATGACACATGTAGGAGGCCTGGTTTTACTTTTAGTTTATTTGTTATCAGTAGCTTGATTACTGCAAACAACCATGCTACTGTTTTTAGTGATAGAAAATCTCTTTTTCAATATTTTTACAAGTTTTTTTTCACTTTAATGTGGCTTCTGTCCCACACTAGTAATGTCAAAATTATATATTTGCATGCTTTACAATAAGCTTTGTATTCACTGAGACCTGGATCAAACCAATGTTTATATTTTTCTTTTAAGACTTACTCTTCCTGTTATTTGGTTTTCCCCATTATAATACTGAGCTCAATGACAACTTGCCATTTAATTTACCACAAATGCATAAAAACAATTGTCTCATTAAGCCAAAAGTTTTGAATAGATTCAAGTATAACCATAAAGTTGAAGGTGTTTTAAATTTTCTTAAAACGCTCAAAAAATAAAAATATACAGTTGAGAATAGATTTCAAATCTCTTAAACAACTGGCAGATACAAGATTTGATAAACAAGTGTATTATGCAAATTTTGACACTGAGGTCCTGTGCACTAATATTTCTTTACAGAAAGCAAGTAAATTAGCAGCAGATTTGGTTTTCAAAATGATATGATCTACCAATATCAGCTTTTATTGAGTTATTAAATATTTCCACCAAAAAATTTAAATTCAAGTTTAATACTAGTATTTGTGATCATATTGTTACGACAATTGAGGTCACGTGACTAGTATCACGCCACGTCATTCTCGAACTTTCACGTCTTTTCCTTAAATCTCATGATCTTTCTAGATATAGTGTAGTCTTGTATATATAAGACCGGCCACGAAGCGATGGAGAGGTAATGAGTAATTGAACTGCAGTCAGAGAGTGTGTATTGTCGAGCACGAGCACGTGAGACGTTCTTTGAGAGTTATAGCGTTTGTTATAGAGCGACTGTTGAAATTAAGTGTATCGTAAAGTTGTATTCGGAAAGAATAAACCAGTTTTATTTAAGAAAGGACTTGTGTCACTCAAGTTTCGTCGGAACGAATTTATGGAAAATTAATTAACGAACAAACGGAGACGTAACAATATAAACAGATAGTATTGCTATGGGCTCTACCTTTTTTTATAATATCATCAGAAACAATGGTTGGATAGCTGTCCAGAATTTTAAAACTATCAGACATATTTATGTGGCTAATACCTTCAATATATTTAAGGAAAAACAACAACTGATTTCATTCTTAGAATATATAAAGAAACAACATCCTTGTATTAAGTTCACAGTTGAAGAGAATAAATAACTCAAATTTGTCTTTTCTCTTGTTTAAGATCTGGATATTGATAATCATTTAATCACAAAACTGTAGAGTCATGTTGACAGTTTTATACCTTTTATATATAAGGATAATTTGATAAATATCTTATATTACACAGCTTATCATACTGCCAGTAACAATCATTATTTTAGTAAAGAAACAGAAAGTGCTACGAATAATTTGGTAAAAAATAAAATTGTTCTCACCTCTCATTAGTTGAAATCTTGAAATATTTTTTAAATGGAGTGTACACTACTTGTAAAGCAAGTTATGATATGCCCAAACTGTCATCTTACATCAGTATCCCATTTATGATGAGAAACAAAAAATATGTTGAAAACAAACAAACCACAACTTTAAGTGTATATAACTTTAAAATTCAATGATTCTACATTGTTTATTGATACGTTTGTTCTTAATGTGGACAAAATTAAGTGGGATCAACCACGTGCTGTTTAAAGCAATGTATAAAACACATATGAAACATAGTGCTAGTACTTTTCAAATATCTACACACACCTAGATCAAGAATGTGATGAAACTGCTAATGCAAATGACAATGTGTGCTTCCAACAATGAACAAGATGTAGGAATCAAAGAGACATTGGCAATCAAGAAACTCAAACCAATATTGAACTCTAAATGATCTTCCGACAATTTCCATGGCAACAAGCTACTACAACTGATATGGCAAAACCAATCTTAGATAATATTTGTTGACAAACTTCCCAGACTTCCTAATGTATGTAAATGTAAACTTCCAAGACCACATTTAAACAAACTTAGGGCATAAAAACGTCCACAGAACTGTGGATCAAATACATAGGTGCTAAACATGTTGCTTTTGGAACTCACATCTATAGCAAAATGCTTCATCATTAGTATTTAATAATCATTCATAAAGTGTTATTAACCCTCCCACTGTCTTCATTTTGATTGTTAATGTAATTTGTATCCACTACTTTGATCATCAGGAAAACAGAAGTGAGTATTGATATGCAAAAGATGATGAGATGAAACTAGTTTAATACTGTTGTAAAAATTGCATCTTACTGATTTAAGTAACTGATATATATATAATTTAAAAAAAACATATCACATGCTTGCATCATCACATTCCAGTCACTTTTTTAATTATTTTTGCTCCTTAATTTAGTTAATTGCTCTGAGTTTGTAAACTGTGCATGCTGATGAGTGCAAATGCTGAATCATAGCTTGCAATAATTATTTAGAAATCTGAAATTAGACGTTTTTACAAATTATTGTTATGCTAACAAAGATCTCTGGAATTTTTAACTCTTTGTATAACAGATAAGACCTAAAGATTTTAAAGAAAAAAAAATCAAACAGAATGAGGGATGCTTAGTAAGTAACAGAAAAGTGTAGCATTCCTGCAAGTTTCACAGTATCTTATACCTCATATTTATACAAAATGTTAACTGAAATAAAACATGAAACTCAAGTACTTACTCAATGGTGCATTGATGTGGTCAACAGAAGCAATTATGTGTATTTTAGGAGCTTGTGCTAAGTAGCTAAGTAAACTCTGATTTTTCCTTGCTCTAAGTGGTATTCCATCAATATTGTGGATAATTAAATACAGATCATCTGATTCTGTAAAATAAAAATAAATTACATAAATTTATTTTTTGACCTGACAAAAACTTTAATCAATCTCTTGATAATTACTCCTCACAAAATTTCAGTTATCTTGGCTGAGATACCAACCTTAACTGATGTAAAACAGGAATGCCAGATTAAAAAATCAGAATACAAGAAGAAATATACGAATGATTTAACTTCTGTCATCACTTTGCCTGCCACAGAGTCAAGCATGTAAAATATGTGGTGTTCACTTACATTGGATGATTTATTGGAAATCTAACCTAATCTGTTAAGAACTGTTACAGACAAAGAAAACATAGCATTATATATGAGATAAAATACTGCTATTCTTCTCAGGGCATGTGCACTATCCACGTGAATGTTGGTCATTCCCATTGAAATATAAGGGAGGTTACGTCCTTAGGACATCACCTGATCTCAAGAAGAAAATATCACTGTCCACTTCTACATAGTAAATTCAGTTCTACAAAAATCTTTCCTACAAGAAAGCATGTGTTACCACAAGTGAATGACTCAGGACAATAGATAGATAAGGTAAAATAAACTTTATAACTTTTATGACAGCTGTCTGTGCTGCAATCACCTACACCTTTATGCATTAAATTTGTAAAATTACATGTTAAAAAGAGGGCATCCAAAACACGTATTATGCCTACATAACACACCTTTCCCTTTACGTCATTTCAGCAGTCCATAGGTTTCAAATTTAAATCCAATTCCCTTGCCCCTGTAGAATACTTACACAACAAACAAGCAAAATAGAACAAATGTAACTCCATAACAAAGGATAACAAACTAAACAGGAAACAATATAAAACATGAAATATCTCTTTTGCAAAAAATTAATAAATTATCCATTTAAAGAATAAAAAAGAAAGAAAACTGACATACAAAGCAAACCCTTTGAAAATGAAGTCATATAAAATACTCCAACATTAAGAAAACATATTAACTGGCTTAGCATGAGAGACAACAAAATGTACCCTTTAATAGCCAGTTAAAGCAAAACACATAGAAATTATAAACTTGAACCCTTTAATTACAAGTTAAAAGACAATAAAACACAACTCTTAGCATTAAGACCATAATCAAATAGACTAACTCTCAAACATCAAGAATTAATATTCATGAATCATTGAAGAAAAATTAATCAAGATATAATATAGTTAAGTTAATCATAATAATCAACTAACTAAGATATCATCCTGAGATACAGATCTTAGAGATGTTATTCTGAAATTGTACATTCATATCTACACACAGTGAATCAGAAGGGTAATGTTCTTTACAGTTCACATACCATAATAATATACTAAACTCAATGATGGTAACTTCATGGGTCACACATACACACACAAAAAGGTAATATTCTTTATATTGCAAAAAGTATGGTGATCACATTTAGGCTGTCTTCATAGAAGAACAATAGAGACACTTACACACATTCATTACAAAAAACTTCAATAATTAATAAAAGGAAATGGTTTAAATACTGGTAGGTGTGAAACATTGAAAACAAATACGCCTAAAAATTGTTATAAAACCAAGCTAAGTGCACAACTTTTTCCCACATTCCTCATTACTTTTCCCAATTCAACTCAAAATAGTATGTGTAAAAAAATAGCATTATATATCTATCTTTTATCTCCAACAAGTTATTGCCCAATAAGATCTGATAAATATCACAACTCATCAGTTGGGATGTATAATGAGAGACAAAAAGTTCTATGAAATGCTATACATACAGTAGAATATTTTAAAAGTTACAGTAAGTCTGTCCATTTCAGCAGCTAATCCTCTTCTCTATTATGGATACCTCTATCCATTTAGTGACACTTCAGGATTGATATCTGCTGAACCATTTGTCAATTGGTAATGGCTGTTGGTGGAGATGATGGGTGCTTTGGTATTGGCTGCCACTGATGTTGATCACAGGGCTTCTTGTTCTGCATTTATATATGTGGATGCCCTCATGTTGACATTCATAGTATTCAATACTTGTGCAACTGAAGACTGCACTGATATAACTGATTCATCTCACCCTGGTGAATTTTTTATTCCATTAAGAGGTTCAAGCCTTAGATTCTTACTTGTGATTATGCATAGTTTGTGTTGAAAAGTGCAGAAGCATATTTTAAAAGATACAAAATTCTTATGTGTAGTAATTAGAGTTCAGACTTGTCACTTGACACAGAAAAATGAAAACTGAGATTTTTTGAAAAATTTCTTATTGAAATTAAGAAGTGTAAAATTTGGTAATAAAGTTATTTAATTAAATTTTAAGTGTAATACTGTAAAAGACCACAATGTCTACTTCGATGAGATTGTAAAGAAAGTATAAGTTACGTAGATTCTTAATGGGTGCATAATTCTATATGTAAAAGTACATGACATACAAGATGAACAAAAGTACGATACTGTATTGTTTAATTTCATCCACACATAGCTTTAGTAAATCAACAAATATACTTTATAGTAAGATCATGAAAAGCAATTTGTAGACAAAAACTTAATACACAAATTAAGTTTTCAAAAAGAAGAAAAAGGTATAATTGTAAACTAATACTGCATAGTGCTTGTGTGGTAACCGAGATATTTCCTGGTGAAAATATTGGAAACCTGTAAGTATTTTTCTTACATTCAGTTAGTGCTTTTTCTGTTTTAATTAATCTCGTGGAGTCAGACTAGTATGTGTATGGTCTAGTCACAGGTGGTTGTTCTGTATGAAAGGAACAGACACAAGACCTTGTCTTCCCTTAACTCTCTTACTAAGGGTAAGTCAGTGTGTATATCACGACGTTTTACAGTTACATTCAAAATTTAATTAAACTACTTTATTAACAATGTATACAAATAAACTTTGCATCAAAACATAGGTAATGAACCAAATTTTAATATATATAAATTTTTAAGTTTTTAATTTTGTATGGACATATTTAAAAAAATTTTCAATCTTCCCTAGTATGAGAATCATGACATTTGTTCTCTAAGTCTTCCCTCTTCTCTAATTTATTTACCAACCCTCTCTGAAGTATCAAATTTAATGTAAATGTAAAGTATTTTTAATCTTAACATGAAAATCTCTGATTCCATATATTTATGGACAGATCTTTAGTAAAAATACATAATCAAAGAATCTGATTTTCTGTGCACAAAAGGCTTGTAATGTTTACTGAAGGTTTGCCAAACTTCATGAAGATACACAAAAGACATTAAAAGTTATAGCCTGGAAACTCTGATGATTACTTTATGGTTAGAAAGTCAGTCATGTCACCCAAATCCATGTGAAAATAGTTAACTTGATAATGACCTATAATCTGTATGGGTAAGATTTATAGGTGGTCAAAATTCTGTTAACTTAGCAGAGTATAAACATACAGTGAAGAGCTGTTTTCTTTTGTCTGCAAGCTCAGAACACAATCAGTCAGCTAGAAGTTTTTTATTACTGTACCACAATGCAACTTAAGAGCAGGTACTTGCAAAACAACTTTGTCTAGTCTCGTCCGTTCAATTTATTAACTTGTAAAATAAAACTCATCCTTTTTTTTCTCCAGTTAAGGATGCTAGTCTACACAGGAATATTTTAGAGCTCCCTCACCCACCCATTAAATTGCATTAATCTACAAAAAAAATAAAAAATATACATATATATATACCAACACAACACATATTAATACACTCATTAATTAAAAGGTCATTCGCACTCGTACTGTTGCTCAAGTCATACACATTGTGTGTGTACTGCACTTAGCAACCAATCAGTATAAGTGTCTGAAAGTAAAGTGTTTTGCTGCTGAAATTTTTAAACACCTACTACTGAGTGATATTTTTGAATTAAATTTACTGAAAACAACAATCATAAAAAATCCCTGTAAATCAGGGATGCCTTAAAATGCTTAGTCCTAACCAACTGCTTAGTCTGCTTATTCCTAGCACTGTCACTGATCTTGAGGCTAATTGTTATGTAGTCTAAGCCAACTTTACATTTAAGGTAGTAATCATTTTTTTAATTTATGTCATGAATATGCTATATTTTCTACATTTCCTTGCATATATGTTAAGTTACATCAACTCTTTAAATCAGATGAATTAAATGGCCTACCTGGTTTCATAAAATGGTTTTTGATGTCATCTATTTGCTCACTTACTCCTTGTAAGTTCCCTCTAGACCCAATGAATTCCTCCATTATGGTGGTCAGTATCTATTCATTTAGTATTCAAATAACATGCATGTATTTACATAATTAAAATTACACCCACAAATCATTAAAAAAATATGAATTATAAGAGTGTAAAGTTAAATCACATTGGAATTCAAAACCAAAATGGCAGTAAAAATGGAAAATGTATTCAAAAATCACAAAATAATGAATTATTGATCTCATTGTTTTCATGAATCCACAGAAACTTAGTTTAGTGCCATTCAACAATCTTGGTTTCTTCCACTTTATAAGAATCCCTCCTTTTATAACTTTGCATGAGCGTGCTGGCCTGAAACAATTTTTTATGGAAGACTATATCTAAGAAATCTAAATAATTTCAATCTTATATCTTTCCTCTAAATTTTCATGTCATAATCACTTATAAAACAAATTCTAGAAATTTTGAAAATTATAATAGGCACTGGTAAAACAAAGAATAAATTAAATCTATTTTATAATGAAATTATTATTCAGTTTTTGTAAAATATAAAGTACATTCTGAACTTACAATTTCATCTCAGCACATTTTGGAAATATTTTGAGTGAATCATTATTCAATAGATTAATAATACCAAAAATACTCAAAAACATGAAAATAGATCAAGTTGTTATTTGCACAAGAACAATACATATGCACTGTGGTACAGCATTGTACTACATGTTTAATATGTAAAATTTTCACAATTTCTGTGCTTTCTTTCAGTTCAGTTTGGATATGGAGAGTTAAGTCTAGTAAAGAACTCAACTTTTCTTTCTCTGGTGCATATTATACTTCAATCTACTATTTGGTCATTAAGCATATTCTCTTACAGTACTTCACCTGTGTTATTTTGAGATAGAGCAATGTCTTTTCTGTCAGAGAAATGGGTAAAGACCCAAGGCTGCTACATTTGTACTTTAATTATAGTGAGTCTCCTTTGTATAGTAGGTTTTAGATTTCAGAAATTTAACTTAGATTTTGTGGGAGCTTAACTTGAACTTCAAATTAGTGTTTTATAGTTTCTTTGTTTCATTTTAATACTGCAGGGTTCTTTTTGTTCTAATATTTTAATTTAACTTACATCTAATTTAACATTACAGGGAGGGCTCACACTGGACTGGTAAGAGAGATTTATTAAAGATTTCTATACACTTAGTATTTCGAATTATAGGTTCAGTTCCCTGTGGAAGACTAAGCACAAATAGCTCAATAGGTATTTTTGCACTAGAAAACAACAACAAAACTTATCAGTTTAAAGTACTCATAGCAAACACTTGCCTTTGTTTTATTTTGATGTATTGTGTGTGTGTGTCTGTTTCTGTCAATAAGGATTGTTCTTTTAAATCTGTGTGTATTGCATTTTCCTTGTTGATGAATTCAAGCCAGTTCATAGACACACGCAGACCCATACTCTGTGACATTATTATCTCCAAACCTCCAGATAGCGGATCCTAACTAATTACTCTGCAGAAAATGCCACAGAGAAGTTAGGAGAGAGGAATTATGGTGCCATGATCAAGGATATCACTGTTGAGAAGGTTTGATTTTGCCAGAGTGGGTAAATATTTAAATTTTAACATCACAGTGAGTACTCAAAGTCTGCTTTGGCACAGAAATGGCATTTTCTGCTGGATGTAGGGTGTACGAGCTGGAGGTGACCAAGTCAGGAGTCAAGGCAGGATGGTGTGTAAGTAGTCTTTAGCTCTTGGAGAAATTCTTTTCTGCTTTTTGGACTTTTGCCAATGCCTTGAAGGGTCCTATAAGCCATCACACAGCAACCACAAGCTTCAAAAGAGGAACATATGCTGCTTGATGTACCAAGAAGAGCCAACAAAGTTCTCTCTCAGAGACTAAGTCTTGGACTGAATGGAGCCCTGATAACTGAGGATCATCATGGTGGTGTTCAACCAGAACTGCTGAAAATCAGACAAGAAGTGCACTACTGGTGGAAGAGCCCTGCCAACATGAGCTGTCTTACCAGGAGGTGATATGGTGGGAACTCATAGATAAGTATGAGGAGGATGACTAGGTGTAAAGCATGAAACCTTTCAGTGAAGAGAGGTGGCCAGCAGTTGAGACAACAGACACTCACTGATATTGATTACAATCAATGAGATTAGAGGAAGCCTCTTAGTGAAGAAATTGACCTAGTTGCCCTGAGAATAAGGAGTGAAGTGCCATTGGTAGATGAACAATAGAATGTGAGTTGCATTGACAATAAGGTTTAAATAGTCATCAGAGTGGTAAGCAAAGTGTAGATAACAGATATTAGCTGTAATGCTAATGTTGATTCTGTTGCACTGTGTCTTAAAGCAGATATTTGGCTACCAGTGCATTGAAGTTCTAGATGAGAATAGCAGAAGCAATCTAGCCTTAATCCAGTGGCAAAGTATTGGTGTCCTTATGTCTTAGTAAACTGATGTATTTGTGTGATTGAATGCTGACTGGGTAAGGTTACAATCACTTGCCACCATACAGAAGCATACAAAGAAGCAATACAAGTCTCACTAAACAATCACTGTGCATGATTCCCTGGAACATTAGGGATATAACCAGCATAAAGATACAGCAAATGTTGAAGATCAGGCTCATACAGCCTTCAACAAGGACACATTATTCTCCACTAGTGATTGTTATGAAGTATGATAGCAAGCAGGTTCTGTGTTGATTTCCACAGGATGAATGTCATGACATATATTGATGCCTTTCCAATTCCACAAACAGTTGAATGTCTGGAAGTGTTGGTTGATGCCCAATGGTTCAGCACTCTAAACCTGGCCTCCAAATAATCCAAGTTGAACTGGATGACAAAAATAGAATGAAAATTAGCCTTAGCCAATGGTCAGATAGCTTGTTTTAGTTCAGAGTCACTGTCATTCAACTAATGTAATGATCCAACCATTTTCAAGAGGCTAACACTGTTTACACTTAAAGGGCTGCAATAAAAAAAAGATGCCTGGTATGTGGATGATATGGGAATTGACCAAATGTTTGAATCTGCTGTTATGAACTTGTCCAAGGTTTGGCAGAGGATAAGAATGTCAGGATGAAAATTCAAATCCAGAAGTGTTTGCTAATGTGCACACAAGTAGAATTTCTTGATCATATCATGGGTAGAAAAGATATCTCCACTGATCTTATGAAGATCACAGTGGTTTGAGACTAGCTCTAACCTGTGACAAAGTGTCTAAAGTTTTCCTTATGTTGGTGTCATCTTGATTTTTTGTGGCCAATTTTGCAAAATTGCCAAACCATTGTGTTTTAACCAAAGCTAATGCACATTACAGATGACTGAGGAGTATGAGCATGCATTCCTCTCGTTGAAATGTGCTTTGGTAAAATCTCTTGTGCATCCATATCCATGATAGGATTGTGAGTTCTTGTTGGATACTGATGCCAGTGGTAATGAAATCAGGGTAGTGACATCACAGGATTGAAGCTTAAAAAGTGAAAGCATACATGACCTGCAGACTCACAGTTCATGAAAACAGATGCTGCATGATGAAGAAAGAACTGCTTGTAGTGTTTGTTAACAAGTATAAGCATTATTTGTATGCCAGAAAGTTCATCCATGGGGTGGATCATGTGTAATTGAAGTGGATCGTGAACAGAAGGTATACATACACATGTTGGATCAAGTTGAAGGTGTATAATGAGTACAAAAAGGTCACATGTTCGGGCAAATTGACCAAGCCCGTATTGAGAGAGTTAAAAATACTTTGCTTCATCCAAAATTTTTTATTTCATTTGCATAGTCCCTAAATAAATATCAAACGTTTTTCTCCAAACAAACTTTATATTTTATGTTATTTTCAACACTATAGCTTTGTATGGGGATGGCAATTTGACTGACCTATTAATTACCATAAAAAAATTATGAAAAAAATCTAAATTACCCTTTTCTTTCTGGAATGATTACTAAATTTTATTGTTTTATTGCCAACTGAACCATGTCTAACAAGTTGTAAATCACTTAGTGAATGTGCAGCTCACATTACTGTATTGAATTATCTAACACACAAGCTGCTTGCAAGCATACCTTTTTGGTTATCTTATCTAATCCAACCTTATCTGACCTAATAAGTTTCTAATTTTTACATTTTAGTTACATTTATAATAGTAAATAAAGAATACACATGAAAAATAAGAAATATGGTACTTATGTGGGCCTTCTTATATTTTGCTGATGATTGCCAATGAAAATTAAACTTACTTTTTTATACTAATGATACTACTACACTAAATACTTTTTATTTGAATAAAAAATACACCTAAGAAAACAGAATGATAACACACATAAAGCAAACAATGTCCTATAACTACAATACTTTTTCTGGCTTTCTAAATGTGAAATACGAGCTTTTTAAAATTCTACTAATCTAGTCAATGTAATTCCTGTGAGAAAACACTTGTAACTGAAACAGGAAATAGACAACTCTCTGTAGAGAAAACAATGTAATATAATATGTTATTTGATAGACTAAAACTTTAGCTTTCTACTGATTATAAATAATATAGTATAAAATATCAGAAAACTACTGACAATTTGTGAAAGAGAATGCAACAGATGGACATGGCAAGTGGATCTGAATTTTTAGTTTATGGCTCCATAAACAAAGAATATTGAAGACCATAAAAACTGTGCTTTCTCCGAGTAATATCTATATCATAATATATAACTAATGTTCAATTCCATACTTCTCAGAGAGGGTTGGTAAATAAATAACAAAAGAGGAAAGACACAGACAGCAAATGTCACAATTCTCATACTAGAGGAGATTGTGGATTTTTAAAAATATTTCCTTCTGAAATTAAGAACGTAAGAGTTATATAATATTAAAATTTGATTTATTAACTATTATTCTGATTTCAAATTTCTTCATATACATTGATAATAAAGTAGTTTAAATGAGTGTTGAATGTAACTATGCAATAGGATGTGACATGTGCATGCTGACCTACCCAACATGTAAGGGTTAATTAAAACTATCTTGCTATGGCCTCTGTTGATTCGTATGATCACCTGATCCCAAATTGACATTCAGAGATTCTATACTATAACATTTAATGTTTTTTGTACCTTCACGAGATGATGACAATACTGCTATAGTAGATAACAAAACTGAAGAAGGTGTCCATAGTGCTGCCAAATACAGTGATGACGAGTTGATGGTGAAGTTGCACCAACTACTTGAGGACAGTGATTCAGACTCAAATTTAAAGGTTTCATGAAAACAGTTTGTAGTTTTGAATACCAAATGTAATGCAGCAATAACTAGTTTTGTATTTCCAAATATTTCTAAGTGTGCATGTAAAAAAAAACTTAAAAATTACAAGACTTAGCTTCTTGTTCCCCTTATTTTTAGAAATCATGTTTAAGGATACTGAAAATGAATGAAAACAGAAGACAATTCTAATTTTTTCCTAAAAAACAGAGAATTAATAAGACATACTATAAAAAGATAAAATAATTAGTACGTATGAATTAATCACAGGTGTATCAGAAAAGATGGTCTGGACTGGTTGTCAGATACCCATTTAGATTTATTAACGTATATTATATGCATCTTACTTCCAGATAAATTTTTAGAGGAAAAAAATGTGTTATATTCAGAAAATTATGGTAAAATTAGGGTCGTCCAAGAATATATATGCAATAAATGCTTAAAACTGAGGCCTTTTGATAACAAGGAACAGCTTGTCAAATAGATCTGTGGAAGTAGCATTTCCTAAGAACTTTAATTTGATATATCTTGTATGGATAGTTTTTCATTAAAAAAACAAACATGAAAGTCACACTATTTCATCTTGAAAGACTTGTTCAAGCACTCACCAAACAAAAGAATATATATCCATCATACTTCTGGATTTTCTGCTTTAGCATGGAAATGAAATATGGAACTAATCCACGTACAATTAAGTATGATGTTTTGTTTTTCCCGAACAAAAACTTTCAGGAAATTTCATTGTAGGTGAACATACTCGGGTATTTACAAAATCGCAAGGAGATGGAAGTAAAAATTTAATACACAATACAAACAATGTTCATTTGATAATTTTACATTTGTCTTTTAACATTATATTCAATACTCTTTTATTTACCAAATTATTATGTAATGCTGTTAATTTTCTAGGTAGGTAGAATTTATTATGTATTTATTATAATATTTCTATTGAGAGTTATTAAGTATTATGATTTATTCATTAATAATCCTTCTTACTATAATATACATGTATTAGGCATCATTATAATTATTATTGTTTTGATATATAAAGCTTGTTTCAGCAAGATTTTTAGAATTTAAAAGAGAAATACTTGCTACAAACAAATAGACCTAGGAACAGCAAGAATAAGATTGCTTTTAGACTGATGTCATATATATGATGGCCCATGTTTGGTTTGGCAGTGCTGGATGTCTAATACTTTGTTAGACCTGGTGTTATTTTGGATATTTTCCAGTAATTGCGGGACTTAATGCAGCAATGCAAACACAGATAAACAGATTTACACAGTTATTGTTTATATAACAAATGCAAATATGCACATGTGATCAGTGACAAATTTTGATGTTATGTAAAAGGTACAATTTAGTTATTAGATCTATATATGAATCCTGCAAATACAACTGAATGAAGACTTCAACTCCTAGTAAAATTTCTTCACATTTGTTATTTAGATATACACCTATAAACACAAGATAGCCTACATGAAAACTGACTGATTTCTTGAAAATGAGTGGCACTAATAAACCCCTAGATCTAATACTGAACACGTTTTCTGTTTAATTTTTGGAAAACTAGGTTTAACATTAGATCCAACTATTACATGTATAACTCGATCTGCTTTATTTTAATAACATCCACAAACAATTACTTCTAAGCCTAACATTAGCTAATTAAGCTTATGGCTATCTGTCCAGACTTAACTAGATGCCTAAAGTTGTATTGATTTAATAATTTTTACAATGTTATAATTTATTTCTAGTTAACACATTAGGCCTAGGTATTAACATTAGATATGTTCGATTGAAATGTTAGTCGTGTTACTGTCTGATACATTAGGAATGATTTAAGATGTAGTATATGCATACATGCCTAGAAGCCTTATAGAGTACAATATATTATGCAAAATTGTAACCTTAAATATTAAGACTCTTATTATCTTATAGCCAAACTTGCAATGTTTAACAAATCATTAAAGCAAACAACTATCTACCCACTTACATCACAGTATCAACTGATCAGTTAAAATATGGTGACATATTCTTGGACCTGCATAGCTTGTCACACAATAATGTACACATGTACATATAGCAAAACAATATGTTTGATTGATAATTGATGTTTTCAAATTGTCTAATTATCTTCAAGCTTCATTGTCTAAATTTTAAAACTTTTAGAATTTTCCATAACAATTCCAGGTGTGGAAACAACGTTCAAAAATTTAAAATCTTTTCAGGGATTTCCAAAACCATGAGAATTCTGAATTTTGTTTTCCATCATAATATGTGATGTTTCTGTTCCCTTGCATTTTTAAAAATAATCCTGAACTTAAAATTTTGATTTAAAAGTAGTGAGTAGAAGGAAAACAGCCACTCAGCAGCATCTTACCATCAAATGTTAAGGAACTGACTGTCAGTCTTATAATACACCCACAGCTTAAAGTGCTGGGAATATTTTGTGGTATTGCATAGATTTGAACTCAAATCATCAGCTCCAAAACCCAGAGCTTTACCACGGGGTCGATTTGCACTCTGCAAGATAATGCGAATGAAGATTGGAAGATCATTGTCAATTAGACTGAAAGAGAATAACATAATAAAACTAATAATAATATATTACTTTGCTGTCATTCATATTCTTATGTCCAACTGAGAGATGCTCATTTCAGTTTTATTTATAATCTATTTTATTACATTTCTTATTACCTTTTACATCAGTAATATTATTTTTTACTATCATAACAATCATACAACACATGATGATGACTTTAGACAGTCACAAGTATCAAATGTTTGAACCTAAAGTCTGGAAGTTTTCTTATGAGATGGATCTATTTTAATTACAAGTTGACTCACTTGTCTTTTGAATATGTACTACAAATTCAGCAATATCTTAAAATAAAAAGATGAGTAAACATGAGCAGGCTTTTTCTAAATAATTACTTACATGTTTGGGCATTAAACCTGGAAAGAACCCATGAATACTCATGTGTGATGTTTCTGTTAGCATGCATTTTCTAAAAGAGTCCAGAAGTTGAAATTTTGATCCAAAACCATAAAACAGCAGGTTGAACCCTTCACTACAAGAAAAAAAATCACTGATGCTAAAAAAGGTATCATTAATATTATTTTATTTGAACCACCTTTCACCAATGTAACAATTACTTTAATATAGGAATTAAAACAGACTACAAAATATACAAGATAATGTTAATGAGAGAAAAACACAGCTAATGAAATTTCTATTTTTTTTATATAACTTCTCTACCCCTCAATTATACTTCGAACAGATAACCCAATCTTTCTATATGCTATAAATCACTGCCAAATCAGTAACATTACCATTCAAAACAAACTCATATACAACATCAATGAAATCTTTATAACTTTCACATTTTATATTTGATTTCATTAGATTACTTTAAGACTATATGGTCAACATTAATTAGTCTAAAATACTATATTACTATACAGAAAGTCTCTTCTTTCATCTAGAAAAAAAAAATACTGAAAATCTGGTTACAGTGTTACATGGTTTTTTTAAAAAACTATCTGGTATCATACCATCACTGTAAAATGAAACATTACTGCAGCTAATGTAGAGAAGTTAAAATACTGTTGTTACTCTTTAACATAATAATACTATAAGTAACTTTTCAGGCTTTTAATGTGAGTACTAATATTTGTATTAAGTAATTCATTTACATTATCATCACGTTTTTTAATGCACAAGCTTTCGGCTCAATTACCTAAGCCTTCTACAGGTGCTAGACGTTTAATAAACAACAGGATCTAACGGAACAATTTGAATCATAAGTCGCCTAGCAACAACAAAAAACAAGAATGTGCCTTAAGTTTCTTTACAAAAGTAAGCCTGAAGTCTTATAAGCTAAAATAAAATAATGTTACACGGTCAAGAAACATAGCAAGCAATATTATTATCATTGTGGTGTTTTATGCTAGGAGATAAAATCAACAACAACAAAAAATAATAAAAATATTAGGTTACTTTAATAACAGCATTAGAGTCAATGCATGGTCTGATTTCTTTCATGAAAGGTAACCAGCAAGTATGAAGGGGAAATCCATGATTTGGGTTAATGCCTGTATGAGGATCACTTCTATGAGGATGGGCTGCTATTGCAATGGCTTCTTTACTATTTAGTATTACAGTCTTTGGCAATAGTTTTTATATTCTTGAGGTCAACATTGTGGTTTTCCTCTCTAGCATGTAATGCAATGGCTGAAGTATCTACAGAAGCATGTGCAATGTCTCTTTGGTTTTCTTTCATCTTAATATTAAAAGGACTTTTGGTCTCTCCGATGTATTCTTTTTTACATTCACATGATACATTGTAGACTTTTTTTGTGGGAAAGTTGGATGTTGCAACTTAACCTTAGATAAGATATTGCATAGGTTAGTCAGGCTCTTGAACACAGTTTGAATGTTAACAGTATTCATTATTCTTTTTATTTTTTTTTCCCAAGATAAACATAGGTTGGTGATACCCTATTTTCCAGGTCTTATTCTTACTGTTGATTTTGTCTTCTAGCATAACAAACCACAATAATAATATTGCTTGCTATGTTTCTTGACCTTGCAACATTATTTTATTTTAGCTTATTAAGCTTCAGGCTTATTTTTGTAAAGAAACTTAGGGCACGTTCTTGTTTTTCATTGTTGCTAGGTAACTTGTTTCAAACTGTTCTATTAGATCCTGTTGTTTATTAAACATCTTGCACCTGTAGAAGGCTTAGTAACTGAGCTGAAAACTTGTGATGAAAAAATGTGGTGATAGTCCAAATAAATTGCTTAATACAAGTAATAATATTATATTACCTGAACAGTTTTTAGTTTTATTTATTTATTCCCTAATGGTTTTCAAACTTTGTAAAATAAAATTATAGCTATAAAAAGTTTTATATTAAAAAATAAATTGATGTTTTTCTAATTTTTATGTTCTTCAACTTTAAATTTAGGCTATGTGAAGAATATAAAAAAATAATATGTTTTTACTTTGACTAAGAACGCATTTGCCTAAAAAAAAAGTGAGTCCTTTGGTCGGTTACAAACCATTTGAGTAATTACGTAGTTTAGATAGAACACTTTAAGGCTCCAACAGTTGGTTAAGTTTACTGTTTAGTAAGTATGGTACACATAAAAAAAAATTTAATACTTTAAAATTATTTTATTACATGTGATTATTTTAATAGATTCGTGGATATTATTAAGATCAATATTTGCAGGTTATACTAAGATAAGTTTCCCATTGAATCAAGTGTTTAGTTTGTGAGTATGTTTGCTTAAAAGGTGAGATTTTTGTATAATTATTATTTCTAACATTTCCTTTGTGTTCATTTATTCTGTGTTTAAAATTTATTCTAGTTTGTCCTATATAAATATTCCCACATTTGCATGTTATTTTGTATATACTAGTTTTCTACAATAAATCAATTTTATCTTTAGTTATATAATATTTTTATTCCCATTATATAATGTCTTGACTACTCTGTCAACAATATCAAGATTAAAACCTCTTTCTACTTTTAAATCATTGATTAATAATAACTCACTAAGATTTTTCTATTTACGGTATGATTTTAAAATTCTTTCCACATAAGAATTAAAAGCAGTGATTTTTTGATAATCAGTGTCACATGGGAGCATGATTACTGAAAATGGTTTTCAGTGAACAGCAGTTTCCAATTTCCCTTGTTTGCTTACTAAAACATCCTAAATAGTTAGTTATGTTCCTTAATTTCATATGTAAGTTTAACAGAATTGTCAATATTATTAAGGTAATTAGCAAACTCTATAAAATTTTCTTTACTATGCCACTTAATCAAAAAGTGTCATCAATATAATTAAATTTCCAGTTTCGTTTTCACTTTCCTTAATGCTTCAGTTTCTAAACTGTCATGAATAAATAACATAATAATGGAGATAAAGGAGAACCCATATTTAAACCTTCATTCTTTTTATAAACTTTACTCTTAATTTGAAAAATTGAATTTTTAATACATGCTTCAAGAAGGTTAATCATATCACTTTCTTCTATCATTTTGTTTTAAGTTGATTTCCAAACATGCAATGGCTTTTTCTATAGGTACTTTATTGAACAATGAAACAACATCAAAAACCACAAAACTGATCTAGTGTTACATTTAATAGGTCTGAAACTCTACCCAATCTTAAGAAATTTAAGTGAAGCATATAATCTAGCCAAAATAAAGATACTTGGAACTATACCTTGTTTTTCTTGAAATATTAAGACCATACAGTTTTTAACTTTTTTTTTATCATTGTGTGTAGGTTATTCTATGTTTATGTTCTCATATGAACTTTCTTTAAGCAATTCTTCAAAATTTGAAATCATAACATTTTCTATTAATATTTCTATTACAGTTTGACCCCTTTCAACAGATTTACAAATAACTGCAGCTTGTTCTTTTAAGCTGTTTACAATTTCAATATCTTTTTTGGTTATTATTTGTCGATTTAAAATTCTTAACTAAATTACAATTCCCTTTTATAGTCTGAGCTTTATCAACATTTAAAATTTTTTTTACAAATTTGTTTTAATTTCTGTTATAATGTCTTTGTAGAAATTTTTTGGACCAAAGGAAAAATCTTTACTCCTATTTAAAAAATCTGATTTATTTGTAACTTTAGGGTTTTTTAAAAATATATTAAGCCTTTCTGGTAATGGATCAAGTTTGTACTGTTTTTGGCCATCATCTTTTTTCTTTTTCGATAAAGAATTATAGGTTTTGTCCAACATAATCATACATGTATTAATATTTTTATGTGTTCTTATATTTGATACTGAAGAAAAGTTAAAATTTAAACAAAGTGTTTGTTTGTTTTAAAGCGAAGCCACGTTGGGCTATCCACTGTGTGGAGAACAGAACCCTGGATTTCAGCATTCTAAATCCATAGACTTACCTCGTCCCACCAGGGGATGGAATAAAGTGAAAGCAAAATCTTGAGATTTTAAATGAATATTTGTAATTATGACTCAGTATTTGCATTTACTTATTATCACAATGGTAATGAGTTATGTAGAAATTTGTTGACACTGATATTTTCTTAAAAGTTTCAATATAATCAGTCATATCATTCTAGATATATTGATACTTTATAAGAACACATAATGAAGGCAACCTAATCACTTGTTTGGATAGTACATACCAATTGCAATTACAGCATAAACAACACTACACATTTTAACATTTGTGATAATCACATTTCAACTTTTAATACATGGAGGGAACATGCTCAGTGTTCTAAAATGAAATATTATTTAACAAGTACATGTTTCATATGTTAAATATTTATCAAAGCAATATTTTCCATGTGTATATACATATAATTGTACAAAACTTTCAGTTGCTAAATTTACACTGCAGTAAACTCATCTTTCTGATCTCAATAAAATAACTGTATAGATTATCAAAATTATTTACTATCAAGAGTGTGCTGTGTTATTCTTATACATGCTTTGAAAATATATGTTTCAAAGTCATCCATGTTAAAAATTTTGAAATTTTTTTATTTATGTAATAAAATGTTCATTGACTGATCATGTTACTGAAAATATTTTCAAGGTTATAGAAGTTTTGTTTGTTTACAAGATTGCCAGATTATATTTACAAATAATTAAATTGCAAATTCTAATTATACATACTGAATACTTCATATACATAATCAAACCCGCTGAAAAAAAAAATTATAATTACATTACAATCTATACACCATCGTGATGCTCATAAGAGGCTATGGTAACTGACACAACATTTACTGTACATTAACACATTTATCACTGACAGTTAAATCCAGGCCTTCCAATAGGTCCATCAGAAAAAGTTGGAATTTTAGTAGGGCAAAGTTTTTAAGAGGGTAGGGCCTTTAGAACAGAAAAGTAGGGATGATTTATAGCAAGACTTTAAAATAACATTGTAGCATTAGTCTCTGTACTAGGTGAGCAAAAACTGTCCAAAAGTGTACTGTTGTTGGATTTCTTTCTGTTCTGTTTTGTAGACAGTTTTTGTTGATTTGAAATAAACTTCATCTTAGCCA